AGCTGTGCAACCCAGGGCTAAGAGTATTTCTGCACAAAAGTACTGTACTTGGCTGTCTCTGAGGTGAAGGAGCAGCTTAACACCTCTAACCAAGGCAGCAAGGGGCAGCCCTCCCAGCACTGGTCAGTCCTGCCGTGGGCCGGTCAGTCTGTGAGGCTTCGAGCATGTACACGGTCACTCAAATATCACCTCTTTGGCAAAACCCCGCAGACCTTTCCTCATTCCAGCCTCCTAAAAGGAAGCAAGCCAGCAGCATGCCCAGGCCCCCATGTGCTCTGCAGGAGGAGCTGACACTGGAAGCGCCAGCACAGATCCTGAACATAATTACAGGCTGATATTTGCGCTGACTGCAGGTGGCCATTGAAGTTACTGACACGTGTGGAAACATATTTTATACTCTGTTTATACTTTCATTTTCCCCATGATTTAAACCTGGCACCAAAATAACTTGTCCAGTCATTACAGGGAGAACGAATAAAAGCTTGTCATTGAAAATGTGTCAAATAGTACTTTCCAAAGCTCATTTCCCATTTCTCTCTTCCCATTTCTCATTTCTCTTTTCTTCAAGACTCTATCCATATCTGCCAGTGTCTGGTCTCCTGGCTTCCACACTCACAAGGTCAGCGTCCTTCTGGGAACAGAAAGGAAGAAAGCAAGTTGTCAAACACCAGAGCCCAGATCTAGAAAAGAACTGTGTCCTTTTTTTTGGGAGTGACTGGATGATGTTGATTGTGGATCCCCAGTTATGGACGATTGGAAAAGCCTTTGTATGAACCATCAAAGGAATCCAAGGAGGTGTGTTGAGTTCGGCGGGAGAAAAGCAGCACTCAGTATGAATGATCAGCAAGTCTCATTTATTGGTAACTCTAAAACCACTTATATAGCATCAATAATTAGGCTCATACGTAGTGCAAAAGCAAGCTCATTCTTGGATATTTCATTTAAGGTCAACTCCACCTAATTCCACATTCCTGTGATCGCTCATCTATGCTGAATTCACATTCTTCTGATCACAGCATCCTGTTCTCAGTTAACAGCTATCACTAAGGTCTTCCTAACTTTGCAACGTCTCACACTGACTGTACTCTATTGTCTAATTCTTTCCCAGCTAACTGCTGCATGGGAACGTGACCTTTGCTAGCTAGCCATTCCTCTATAGAGGTGTTACACTGGACTCCCAAATACCCAACAGCCTTTTCATATCTTGAATTTGATGACACCCGCCCTGGGGTTACCAGAATTGACTGAACCCTTTGCACTGTTCATACATGAGTGCCATCACCTTGCACAGTAGCTCCATATTTGGAGCTCAAAGACTGGTGTCGTGGTTTTAAACCAATAACTAAGAAAATTACTTACTTCTTGCCGTGAGATATGGATTAGAACAAGAGCAAAACAGGCATACAACTTAAAAGGGAAAAAAAAGAAAGTTTATTGACAAACCACAATAATAAGAACACCAGAATAAACTTCCAGAAAAACCTTTCCATCCCCTATCTACCCACTATTCCCTTGTTCACATGACAACAGAGACAAAAACTCTGGAACTTTGATGGTTAAAACAGTCCCAATTCTTGCTAGTCTTTTCTTTTCATGTTGATCTCTCTCTCTCTCTCTGGATAAAAAGATTAATCCGCAAGTCTCATCTGGGTAATGAAAGAGTTAAAATCTTGCCCAGGCTTTTGTAGATGGTTCGGAGATCTCTGCCGAACAGGAGCTGGAGCCGTCTGTGATGGAAAGTTCCTCATGGCTGCTCTGGAGCGTGTAGTCGCTGCTCCAACCCGCTGCAAGTCCAGGGCCTCTCTCTTTCTTCACTGGGCAGTTTCTAGTGAATTAGTTACAGCAAAACCTGCAGCCGAGCCAGAGATCGGCTCGGCCCGGCCTGGCCCGAGGAAAACCTTCCCCAGGCCCCCCCATCTCCCGGCCTGGAGACGGGGCAGGCCCGGCCCCATCCCCGCCCGGCCGCATGGCCTGGGCAGGGACGGGAGGCCTGGAGCTCCGGACCCTCCACAGCCAGGAAAAAAAGAGAACCCAGAGAGCTCTGCTTTTACATTTTAAGGTAGGGTTCACAAGTTGATCCCACTTTTCAATGGCCTAAACTTCTGTCAATTCACAGCAATGACCGATAATTGGTCAGGAGAAAAGACTCCAAGCACTTCCCAGCAACTCCAACTCCCTTAAAGGTAAAGTAACTCCATGACAACTGGGAATGCAGAAAAGAGCCCAATGGAAAAGAGCATATTTCTCAAAAAAGAACTAAACAATGTACTCGAGGGATAGCCAGTGTGCCTCAGAGCGGCCACAGTCCTGACTGATTGAATAGACTTAAAAATTAACAGAAAAAAATGCCAGTTCATGTCCCACACGTGCTTACGTCTGCTTGAGAGCAAAAAAGAGGTCACTGGCTATGCCTGACCAGAATCTTAAAGTAACAGGTGGTACTCCTGCAATAAAAGAGGTGGCGCTAAAGACAGCTACTGCCTTGAACCCTGCTATGCTCCTTAATCCTTCTGCAAGGAATCAGGGTCTCTAATTAAATATGGAAAGCTTTGGGAGTGTCCAGTTCCCTGCTAAAGGAGCAATAAGGCACTGCAAAGCTCACCAGTTCAGATAAACACCAGTCAGCATCAGAAACCAAATAACAGACAAAAGTGCTGGAGAGATGCCAGAACAAAGCATCTTGTTGGCGATTCTTCCCTAAATTGTGAACCTTTCCAAATCAGTCACAGAACACCACGATGCAGACAATCAATTGGCAAAAACTTCTAATGTCTGATTGAATCCTGAAGGGTGGTGGGTAGCAGCATATCAACAAGTCAGAGTGCCTCAAGCAATGAGATAAATTGTAGAAGATAAACATAAAGAAACTCCTTGGGGTATTGAAAGTATGGTAAACAATTTGAAAAAGCAGCTACTTAGCGTTAGGCTGACAGGGATTGTGACAAGTGTCGTTAGCAAATGTAAAATCTGCTTACAGAGCAATGCACTGTTTTACAAAAGACTCCCATTAGAGATCACAGAAAAGGGAAGTAGTGCAGGAGATTAATGCCAAAGAGATTTTCTTGAGTTACCTCAACAAGAAGCATATAGGGATTTATTAATTTTAGTAGACACATATTCTGCATGGCCAGAGGCTTTTCCTTGTCGCACCAACAAAGCTAGGGAAATACCTCAAGTAATAATACAAAAAATCATACTCAAGTTAGGGATCCCGTTTGGAATGTCATCAGATAGAAATTCTCATCTCATAGCTGAAGCGTTACAAAATCTATGTAAAACACTCCCAGTTAAATGGGACCTACTTAGCCCATGGAAGTCTTGCCCCAGCGGCAAAGTCGAGAGAACAAATCAGAGTCTAAAAAGACATAGGAGTAAAAATGGCCAGGAAAACTCACTGAAGTGGCCAT